GTTGAGCTATGGTTGAACCATGAGAAGAAGGAGGTAAACTACACATAAAAGAAGCATGACCTTTAATTCCACATCTCCAACAAGTAATATCTCGAACGTCATCAGTTATTGGATTGTATTTACGACGTTGTTCATCATATGTATAAGAAGATCTAATTTGAGATTTTGTAGAATGTTTCTTATGCTCTTGTTTTGCACTGCGAATAGCATCAAGTGCAGTTGCCCTGTCAATTAATTCTTCAACCGTATTCGAATTTTGAGTAGCTAATGCAATTTGCCATTTTTCATCTGTAATATCACCAATGATCATAGAAATACGGTCAGGTTGGGGAATGGTGAAGGGAGCTTTTTCCAAAAGAGCGTCTTTTGAATAAATATAATCCACTAAACTTTCATTATGCTTCAATTTTCGTTCACTTTGGTGAGCCAAAAATTCTTGCATTGTAATACGCCTTTTGAATCTTGAGGCGAGAGCAGTTTTCCAAGTAATCCAATCATTAAATTTTTTTCCTGTTGTTAATTGCCATTTTTTAGCAGATCCCGAGAGACGAGAAATAGCATTTGTTAATTTTAATTCCTCAGACCAGTTAGCTAAAGTTGAAATTCTTTCAACTTCTTTTAGCCATTCAAGGGCATTTTCAATTATTTCACCCTTAAATATTTGAATGGAATTTGCAGTATCATTTGTAGATGTGATTTGAATTACATTTGAATTTGCTTGCCTTTCTAAAAATTGTTTTTGCGTTTCCATTAATGTAGAGAGAATAGCTGCGATATTTGGATCTATTTGGGAAGGTGGAGGCATAGGAAGTGGTGATTGTGTAGCATAATTACTTAAAAGTTCTACTTGTTTTCGTAAAGATTCAATTTCCATCAATAAATTTCTGTCAGAAGGTGTCTCCTCATCATTAAAATACTGCATACGAAGAGTATTTAATTCATCCAAAGTTCCTTCGTTTTTTTTTTTATTATTATCCTCTACAATACGCAGCAATAAATCATTTTTGTTTCCGGTTAGCGAAAGATTTCTGAAACGCAATTCTTTTTTCAATTGAACAATCGTTAAATTTTGTAGCGGATGTGATTCTAAAGAATCAAAAATGATATCAGCATTTGTTGACATTTTTTTTTGTTCACTGTTCCAGGAGAAAAAAAAGAAGAATTTAGCGAAAATTGCTTGGCGACGTTTTTTGTACAAAGCAAACACGAAACTAATTTATTTTCAGAATAATTATTATTCGTCAGAATATTCTTATTAAATTTTATCAGAATCAAAATAAGAGTCTATTGAATTTTTAAGAACTTCACTTACTATACGAAAAGTTGTTGTTTTGGAGATCTTCCAGGCAAAAAAAAATAAATCTTGGCGAGATTATGATCCTTGGCGAGGAAAGTCTGAAGATTCCAAGTTAGGCTTAGCGGCTGCATACAATTTTAGGCTTAGCGACTGCGTACAATTTTTAAGAAGTTTTTTTTTTTGTTGTTGTTGATGATAAACTTCGCGAAAGTTCTTTAGATACCGACTACGCCATATAAGGTTGGTTTATGATCAACTAGTTCATAAATAACAACAGATTAGTCGAAATAAACATTTAATTAGAATAAGCGTAATAGTTCTGTTTACATCTCGTACCGACTATATTCATGCGTTGCCAACATTCGTTATTTATAACATAAAGTAATAAGAATACGATTACAATTATTTCATCGATTCACTTTATGTGAACCTTACATTTCATCTGTCAAGTGTGCCGTCTCATTAGGCGACCTGTATGGCTGTGCAAGCAAACCTTACAGCATATTAGGCCTTTTACAGTTCGATATCCCAACTTGGATTTTGGAATTTCCTTCACCATTAGTTTTACTGATAATCTAGAGTACTTGAAATGATTTATGAATGTATATTCATACAAAATTTCTTTACAATCTAACCATTAGATTCAATTCAAAATAATGCGCAGATATTTTTAATTTTACACATCAGAGTATGTCGGAATATCACAAAACTAACAAGTGTGTCTAAATGCGTTTTTATCAAGAGATTCTAGGACGTTGTATTCTAGTGGTCATTTTTGTGGACTCGCGGCCTACGATTTCCGACGTGTCGTGGGTTCGAGCCTTGATGCAACTAAAGACCTGTCGTGTAGCCTGGCCAGATATTCGTTAAATCTATCGAAGCTTATAGTCCACCCGTATGCGTGATTAGGGAGAGGGAGGATATAGCTCAGGTGTCATCTAAGTTACTTGACTGAGATTCAAAATTTCGAGATCCGTTGGCAATTGCTATGTGATTCATGTCACTGGCTCTGTGTAAGATACTGAACACTACGTTTCCTCTTGCCCTTTTACCAATCCACCAGACATTTTTAAAACGGAATTTGTAACTGAAAAGAGTTGTATGGCTTCAAGCGAATGCTTTTCGGATTATCAGGTAGTGTACCAACTTTTCAGCGAGCAATGGATATCATGCTAAAAACAGTGATCTGATTGTGTTCATATAAACGATGTCATATTTATTTCGGGGTCCATTACTGATCATGTCTACCATCTGGAGGTAGTTTTTCAGATAATGCAGGACGAGGGTTAGAATTTAAATGCTGAGAAATGTCGTTTTTCTTTTCTTTTCAGGAATACCTAGAAGTAATCATAAATAGAAAAAGGGTGCACACTGATCCTAACATAATTAAATTTTTTCTTCACGTGCCAGCCCCGAAAAAAGCACGCCATCTTTCAAAATGTCTAGGGATGGAGTGCAAAATAGTTGGATAGGCAAATTAATGCAAGGCGTCACCAAGAAGAGTAAATATTACTTCGACATTACATTACAAAATTTATAAATAAACAATTATGTGAGACTTCATTGGTGTATCCTTCTGTAAGTTATTGACTTTTAATGTTAGCTGTATTTGCTGAGTTATGGCACAAGATTCTGGTAGGAGAAGTGATTCACGCGCCATAAAATAAATTGTGTTTATCACGTTTTTAAAGTTCTTATTTCCTACTGGCTTGAGCAATTTAAGAATAAAAGATATATATATGCTGTATTTGTACATATATTTTTAAATGTTGCACCAGCTCGCATGAAATAAATAAATTTCTCCGGAAATTTGATTGGAAAAAAAGCACCTAATTTTTCGTGTTGTTCTCTTGCTGAAGGATCGTAAAGGAGAAGGAGCTCTATCTATCCGCCAAAGGCCATACCATCCTGAAAACATCGGTTCTCGTCCAATCACAGAAGCTTAGCATCATCGCGGGCATCTTTACCTCGGAGGGTGGCCAGCTGGTAACACCGCTTGCCGTTGGAATTATTTTTGTAAATGTCTTGGGGTAAGGGAAAAAAGAAAGTTCAGCGGAGTTTTACAATGCATCGGATTTCGTTCTCCATGAATGAACGTAATGTGATGTTTGCATTTCTTACCATTATCTTTCGTAAGAATTCTTGAAAAGTGATTTAAAAATTTCTGGCTTGCTTATTGAACAATTCAATAAAAGTTACACATTATTTTACAAAACTTACTGTAAAATAATGAAGAATCATCACTTCGGATTGGGTTGACAGCAATGAGTTAATATTCTATTCGTTATAATTTTGCTTCTACTTATCCCAGATTTCAAAAACAAAAACAGATTTAGAAAACTAAAGAGTTAAGTTTTAAAATGGTATTATTGAAAAATTGTAAATTTTGAACAAATGTCACGTTTTAAACATAGTAAATCAACATAAACATTAATATATCATACAGAATTACGGCACAAGAGCCAGCAAATGGCGGAGTAAAATTACAACTTTTGCATTTCCTTCGTTTTCAGGTGTCTGCTTTTTTTAAAGCATTCTTTCATTGATATCCTATTTTCACATCCCGCGAATTTTCAATCGAAAAAGTCAATACGAAAGTAAAATCCTTGACTGTGACCATTAGAGATAGTAAGTTCACTTGCAACTTTTATACAATGGAGAAACACAAACAAAATTTATTTGTAAAAACTGATACACTTATACAAATTCTTCTTATTTTTGTATACATTTCTTATAAATCTGCTCATTGATTTATTTCTTCATCGGTATGTTGATGAGTGATCTGACATTTATTTATTTACGCACACACACACACAAATATATATAGCCTCCTTTTCTTTTTTGATTGATTGCTAACTATTCGATATTATTTTCTGGCCCATTTTAGGGCCAGATTCTATACTGGTTTTTCCATATCATATGTTTATTTTTAAATTTTTGACATCATTTCGTAACATTTTTATGACTAAAATGTATCGTTTATTTACATTTAAATATCACACATAAATTATATGTAAAAACCACATAAGAAATGTTACAATTTTTTTTTAAATTTTATCTTAGTGATTTTTATTCTTCTATCCCCTTATTATTATTATTTCTAGTATGGAAATATAAATGTTGTAATGAATAATTAGTGTATATTGAAACGTAAAGGGTTAAGTATTTGTAGTTTTATTCATTCATTTTGTGTTTCTGTATTTTAAAATTTCATCAATTTAGGTTTAACAATATAATTCCAATCACGTTCTAATAATGCAATTCCAAAACCAATTTAACTATGGAATTTCTTTACCGCCTTTAACAATGGAGTTTCAATCCGATGTTTAATAGATAAATTATTGTTCTTTATTATCCTTATTTTTGAAACCTGTGGAATTGTTTGAATGTTTTTCCCTGAGGACAAGTCGTATTAACTTTTCCAAAACAGTTGTTTTAAAATTTAAATTTTCTTGTATTTTTGGTTATATGAAATAAACTGTGTTTATCAAGTTAAATGTAGGTCTTATTTACTGCTGGCTTGTGTAATGTAAAGAATAAAAAATATATTTGCTTTATTTGTGTATGTATTTTAAATGTTACACAAGCTCGCATGAACAAAATAATTTCCCCCTCATTTGATTTAAAAAAATTAGCACTAGATTTTTCGTATAGTTATCTTGCTGAAATCACGTAAAGGTAAGAAAGATCTTTCGCTCCGCCAACGGCCATACCATGCTGAATACACCGGTTCCCGTCTGATCTCAGAAATTAAGTATCATAGGTCGCGGTCAGTACTTGGGAAGGTGACCACCTGGGAACACCGCGAGCCATTGGCATAATTTTTGTCAAAGTCTTGGGAAAAGGAAGTGAGACATTTTTACACTACGAGGAGCTCGTTCTGCATTTATGAACATAACGAGATGTTTTTTTCTTATTGTCATTCTCTTTCGCAAAAATTCTTGAAAAGTGATTGAAAATTTTGTGGCTAGCTTATTGAACATTTCAATAAAAATTTCCCAGTAAAAATTACATAACATTTTACATAAATTAATGTAAGATATTGAAGATCGTCACTTCCGAATGGGTTAACAGCTTTTGTCGAAATTTTTAAATCGTTATAATTTTGCTTCTACTTATCCTAGACTCAAAACAAAAGCAGATTTAGAAAGCTAATGTATGTTAGGTTTTAAAATGGTAAAATAAAAGAAATTGTAAATTTTGCCGAAAATTACGTTTAAAATGTAGTCATTCACCTAAAAGTTTAATGTATTATTCAGAATTACGGCACACGAGCCAGATAATAGCGAAGTAAGATTATATTCATTTGAAATTTTATCAAATTTAGGTGGAGTAGGAAACTCACTGTTTTATCTTGTTGGACAAATTACTTTTTCTCTGTTTTCTTTGCTTGCTAAAAACTCGCGTTTTTTCCCCTCACATTAAAATTATGAAATAGAGTTAAGTTCTTATATTGTAGCTATAAATCTCTAAAAATATCGCTAAATATAAATCTATAAAAAATTTATGTTGAAATTCAAAGAATGTATGAAAACAATGAATGTATTCTACTGTTTCATTTGTGTTACTTTAATCACTACTTTCAGTTTTTAAAATAATATTTATTTTATTATATAGAATCAAAAATTAATTTAAAAAATTAAAAAAAAAAACGTTTCAAAATCAGAAACGCTTTAAGCTTTTCAATTATTACAAATGAATAATTTTTAAGCTTCTGTTATTCATTACATTAAAAAATTTCTTATGCATTGATAAAAATAACAACATCAAACTTTTTCAACCTATAAGTTTCTGATTTTGACACATTTTTTTTTTTTTAAATTAATTTTTGATTCTACATAATTTTTTCATAATTTCAAAGCCAAGTATTCAGGACAGCTTACACACGATCCTCAGTTTTGTAATGTTAAGTTCCGAAATACATCCGAATTTGAACTACAGCTTCCTTCATAGAGAAGATGAATGAGGTTTTCCCCTCAATTTCATATTTTTCAAACTTGATTTTTCGAATAATTAGTAATTAAAAGCGTCTGCACACATTTATATTTCTTCATACGCGTGAGTGTCAACTGTACATTTGCACAGATACTTTTGATTGCTAATTATTTGAAGATTCAAATTTAAAAAAATATCCATATGTGTAAAATCCCTTATAATTTATCTTCTGTTAGAGGATAACTGAAGTTCAGGTAGTTAAAATCCAGACATTTTTCGTAATCTTAACAATATACAACTGGGAACTTTACTTAAGCTACCGTGAAAATCTGCTTTTCAAATTACGATAAAAAAAACATTTATGTATGGCACATACACAATTAAAAATTATTTACCATAAAAACTTACAATTCTATAAATATTTAAAATATTAAATTCGAAACTTAATATATTTCATCACTAGCATATTTTTATATATTCCGTAAGTTTTGTACAATTAAGTTGAAAACTGCACGTTATGAGCAAAAAATATGCTGAACAATTTGGTGAATATAAAATAAAATTGTTACTTGAAAGCAAAGCTGAGATGCTAAAACTTCCGTATACAAAAATTATGAGCATATCTACAATAGTTTTTGGAATAATTATGTTAAAATTCAGTTTGAAATTTGTTTGTGTTATTATACGTAATATTAAATAAAGTGTCAACATAATAAAGTAATAGTTTGGTGAATTCAGAGATTATTAAAAATAGATATAAGTGACATTATCGCAAATGTTAAGAATTTTATAATTTTTAATTCCAACTTCTTTACAGAAGTGTACACTGTTATCACATTGGTGTAGAAGATATAAAACTTGCATCTAAAATAGATGGAAAATGCAATCAGCAGTGCCATAATCTTAAACAGAATACGGCATATTCACTTGATAAGGTAGAGTCAGCCTTAGATAGGAACAACTTGTGCAAAAGCTTAGGGCCCTGCAGTTTTGGGGGATACCACTTTGAGAATTGCAGTTTCCAGGGAAAAATAAAAAAAATTACATATACAAAAATAAGACATAATTTTTCATACATTTTATTAACAAAGGATTTCAGAATAGACTTCTATCTCATTGTTGCGAGATAAAAATACCTAAGGTAACTAAACGTACTCCTTTTTCGCAAACAATATTCTTCTTAAAACCTGTTCTAACAAAATATTCTCTTGCATCCTTTTGTACTCCTAAAAAAATTTATGAACTATAATGGCAACTTTATGCAAACTTTTAAAAGTTCAAACTCATTCCCATCTAAACGCAGCTTTTATCATAAAATAATTCGATATAAAAACCAACGTTTTTAAAAACAACGTTTTTATATGGTGGCAAAGTTTATTAGAGAAAATTATTGAAATATTAGTTAAAACTGTTAGTTATTTTAAACTTTAAAATTCACTTAAAAAGAGACATTTGTGAGAGTATTAAAAAATTCATAATACTCATAAAATCAAAACATGCATTTGAAAGTTTGTAAGTCATTCTATTAAAAAAAAGAATGGGAACCAGAATTCAGAAAAAATTATTGTGATAAGACACTGCGCCAAATATTGGAAATTTCCTTTCTTGCGAATGATTACTGACTAAAAGTCAGCAACCCTTACTATCTCGGAGATAGTGAAAGGGAGATAGTATCTCCCCTTTGTGAGTACAAAAGGTTTACGATACCGCATGCTGCGTGGGGAGTGCCCTGTGCTCCCAGAGGGGGAAAGAAATTTTTTCCTCAATCCTAAAAGCGCCGAGAGGAAAGAATATTTTGACTTATTAAAATTATTGAAATATTAGTTAAAACTTGTCGCAAACGTCTAAATATTGCATTGTTAGGCGAGTACGAACGATTCCCAAAATTTCAAAGCTCTAGCTTGATGGGAAGTTGGTTAAATTAACGATCGAAAATTTGATGACACACACACACACTCACACACACACACACACACACCAAGTGAAATTCAGAAAAACGTTGTAAATAATTCGAGATAAAAACCAACGTTTTTAAAAACAACGTTTTTATATAGTGGCAAAATTTATTAAGAAAGATTATTGAAATATTAGTTAAAACTGGTCGCAAATATCTAAATATTGCATTGTTAGGCAAGTAAGAACGGTTCCCGAAATTTCAGAACTCTAGCTTGATGGGAAGTTGGTTAATTTAACGATAGAAAATTTGATGACACACACACACACACACAGAAACACGAACCAAGTGAAATACATAAAAACGTTAAAAGTAACTAAAATTAATTAATTAATTCGGTAAATTAAATGGTTGGAATGCAGTTTAACCCAATCACTCTTGGCGACAAGAATTATTTGGCAGTATTTTGCCAAATGTGGCTACCCTGGTCCGTTTTACGGACTTAACGTTCAGCCAAACAAAAAAATCGCCAAGTTTGATGCCAATTTTTGAAATCGCGCCAAGTGGTTGGGATAAACTGCATTATTGAAGAAAATACTAGCTAAAACTTGTCGCAAATGTCCAAATATCGTATTGTTAGGCTAGTGAGAACGATTCCCAAGGTTTCAGATTTCTAGCTTAATGGGAAGTTGGTTAAATTAACGATCGAAAATTTGATGACACACACACACACACACACACACCAAGTGAAATTCAGAAAAACGTTTTAAAAGTGAAATTCAGAAAAACGTTTTAAAAGTGAAATTCAGAAAAACGTTTGAAAAAGGTTTGGACTCGCCTGTTTAGTAGAGAATTGTATTCCAACCATTAGTTTTCTGTTTACCGAACAGGATTGCATTATTTCTGGGATCCCCATTTAAGCAAGCGTAAGTGATTTGTTATAATTTTAAGCTAAATATTTTTCAATTTTTTTTTTTTTTTTTTTTTTTTGCAGACCAATATGGGTTTTTGAAGGAGGAGTAAAAAAAAAAACGTTTTAATGAATATTTAAAAACGAGTTTCCACTTATTGAGACTGCAATTAAAATGACATTCGTTGGTTAAATGTATAATCTGCAATGGAGCATTTTCTATTGCTTGTGTTGGTCAAAGTTTAATAACAAAACATATGGCTACTAATATACTAATACGGGGGAAAAATTTAGAAACAGCTTCAATATCCAAGTTAACAAAATTATTTAAAACTGATAATTTTCTATGAAATGAAAAAAAAAAAAAAAGAAAAATAGCAATTAGTACAGTTATCTATTATCATGAAATACCATATATGTTTTATTGCGATATTTTATTTGTGTATTAATTTTTTAAACCCAATATTTTCATAATTTTTTTAATTCATATATCATTTCATTTTAGTTGATAACTTTAAATTTATGCTACTGTGCATAAAATATGTGTTTTATATATCTTTTGAAATTTTTTAACTACGTATTTTATTTTATTTTATTTTCATAAAAAGTGAAGTACGAGCATCACCTTGTTAAATATGTTTCATATTTGCTTTTTAACCTTTTGCAGCGCACTATCCAGTAAAATTAAAAGTATAACGAAATAATTTGTAGGCAGTCTATGTAGGCCTAAAGGAATAAGCAAATAAATTTTTAAGATTGCACTTTCAATTTTGATTCTGGGGAGCTCTGTCAGCGGAAACACTGCTCCTATGGAATTTTCATAAGTGCGGCTAAGCGCGTATTGCAATGAAGCCTGAAAATGAGACGAAGCTTCCGCATATGAGTGAAAAACACTGTATATCTTGATTATATGTGATTTTAGATTAAGAGATATTCTATATACACGAGTCCTATATAAAAATATATTTACAAATTGGTCAGTATTTTATATTCATAATATTTTTGGATGCCCGTAACACCCTTTTGGAAGAAACACCAACCAACATTGCAGGTTTTGCACATAAAAATACT